TTAAAGTTTAATAATTAAACTAGTGGTAAATGATATGAAACTAATCGATCTCACCACATTTTAAATTTGGTTAATCACGTAGAGATAGTTGTTGAGTTACAAGTGTTACAACATTGATKAAGTACCTAAATGGTTAAAACATAAAAATTAAAATGTATTATGGCCTTATGGGGTGATATTGATAAGAATATATAAATAAAGTAAAGTATAAATAAAAACAATCAAACAGTGTTTTTGTCCTCTGAAACGTCACAAAAATGATTGTTTTTTATGTATGATTTAAAACGCGCGCYATGGTACTTATATCAGTAAACGTTAATACCTACGTCACAGCTTTACTAAACAATTAGTATTGTAACGAATTTATACTTAACTTTTCAACTGTAAAATGAATATTGATCAATCATTAATGATTATCAATTAATTTTAATCGTAGGTATATTTGATCTGAGAATAATAAAAACAATAATAATTGAACACTACTCAGGCCCATTTGGTTCTACGGCTTACAAAAAGTAAGGAGATCAGCCAAAGTACCTATCTATAGTAGTAACTTTATAATAGCTGAATTTACAATATACCTATCTACTTATGTGAATGGTGGTGGACAGCTGGTAACTAATTTTTATACTTCTCCCCACCAAATGAAATACAAGTCGACGCCAATGCCTATTTATGTTATTTGCCACATAATTCACATAGGTATTTGCAAGCTTCACACATCAATATCATCCATTATCCTTAAGAACTTAATTTATACTAATATATTATTAGAATATGATATTATTACCTTTTTGCTTTGACTCTTTCTCACTATCATTTATTCATCTACTAGATCATCTCTCTGCTAAATGCGACTTTTCACCGATCATACTAAGTTTAGGATTCTATCATACAAATTAATTTATCCACTTTATACTTAATTTTGAAAATTTTGCAGCCAAAAACTTTGTGATCGAAGAATCAAACATTTCTTTCATAACTTAAACTAACTGGGAATAAATAATAAATAATAACAATATATTATACTTTATACTATATTTTTACGTACAAAGTACCCATATATTTTATAGGCAGTTTAATGTTTAAGCACTTACTTATCGATACTGTACCAACCCATAACAATTTAAAAAATAAAGCAATTTTGATAATGAACATAGCAATTTTATAAAACTATGAGTCAACATCAACACGTCCTACACAAACTGGACAATGTCAGATGGTGACTGAGCAGTGCCAGTTACTTATTTCAACTTATATTCTCTATTGGTTCAACAACGATRACAGTCCTGTTTAAATATGTAGGATTGTAGTAAACGTCGCACTGGTAGGTAAATATTTATTACGTAGATCATTCGCATTGTTTTATATCTTTTCTAAGTAATTAAGCAAATTAATATGGAAAACTCCCGGTCTTAATTACAATAGTACCCACATTATAATATCATATTGAACTTAGCCGTTGAAGTGAAATATTTGGTTTCAAGCAATTCATAGTTTTTAAATTTACCTATCCTTAAAATAAAACAGTCAAGTTGATAGTAGTAGTACAATAATACTCGAATAGTCGTGTTTAGGAGTTTAAAAAACATAGTCAAATCAAGTACTCAAACTCTAGTTGAGAATTTTTCAAACTCGTGTGCTCACCAATTAATATTTATTTGTGGACAATTAATTTATACATTTTTTGTTTACATAACATTTACTAGATAATAGAAAATAATTTCAATTTTTTCAAAAATATATTAATTATAGTTCTTTTTTTGGCTTATTATTATAGGACAGACAAAACCTTTGTCCCAATCACCACTCGTCTTCATTGGTTACTCCTACATCCTAGGGTCATATCATATCATAAATACCTAGATATTTTAATTATACCTGCACACATCTGTGTCTTGAACAGTCTAATTTGTTTTTTTCACACTGATGATCATTTTAAACTAATAAGTTATTTTTGTGCTCGCCATATATGACCTGCCCAGTAAACTTCTGTTTTTAATTGTTGTATTTATATCAGCATCATTTTTGCACAACTCTTATTTCTTGGTTTGCTCTTTATTCATGTTCTCCCATAAGTATTCGGGTCTCTAAGAATTGAATAGCTAAAGTAAGTCTTTCTTAGGTATAATTTTAATTTTACTAGTAAGACTCATACCTTTAAAATAATAAAAATGTAATAAAAGTTCCCTAAAGTTAAWTTTTAGTGAACATAAATATGTAATATTAGTAATTTTTGTATATCAAAAACATAATGCGTAAGTAGGGAACTCAAACACCTCTATATTATGATAACAAAAGGAAATCTTTTCTAATGTATTAATCTTGTAGTGGATTAATTTTGTTTTTTTTATATTAGATATATCTATTAATGCTGCGAAATTGATTGTAATATTATAAATACATTTTAAACATACAAACAAAATCTATAAATAATTTGCAGTTAACAAGAACTAGATATTTATAATTCAATAATATTTAATAAATCATATATATATTTAGTTAAAAGCTAAAAATATATTAGCCAAAATACTAAGCAAACAAAACAAAACAGTGAATACAAAAAAAAGTAATAATTATACTCGATTCAGATAATAGTAAGTACACATAGTTGTAATTTACTTATATTAAGCAAAAACAATAAAATAAAGAATATTAATAAATTAGATCATCACAGTGTAAAATAAATAAATTTAAATTGAATTTATAATCTTAAARTAACACAAAGAAATTTGAGAACCACCTTTTTAATTATATTATTTTTCTAACCATGATGCAGCTACTGATGGGGCAGTAGGTGATTTAGGTTTYACATTAAATTGCTTTAAGGTGGTTTCAAGTGCTTGATGGTTATTTGAAAAATATGCCAATGTTGCGTTATGAAACATCAAAAGTTGTTTATGCATCACTTTTACCTAAAACAGCAGATAAATGTTAARTTTATTAACTTTTAAGAAAAAGAAAAGAGAAAATGTGTACTCCATATCTTCATAATTATGATGAATATTATAATATGAAATTATTACTAATATTTGATATTAGTTAGTATTATTTTAGATAGTAATTAGTATGCTTACTCTATTTTCATCAAGAAATTTCAACTTAACAATCACATCTGAACGTAATTTTTCAAATTCTTCTTTGTGCTGTTGATAATTTTGCTGAGCATCACCAACACGAACTGTATTAGAATCGGTTCTTGGCATTTGTGCCAACATTTCAAGATCTGAACGATAAGCATCATATTCAATTCTAAAAAATTAATATTTTAATTTTTTAATGAGAAAATAATCAAAAACTATATTAAATATATATATATATATTATTCTTTGTTATGATAATGATTGGTTATATCCCAGGGCATAAAAATTGTATCATCTAGATACCTGTTATTGTATCACRTATAATATCACCCATCAATGTATATCATTAAAATACTAGTATGATATTTTGCAGGTTATCGAAACATACTATTAATAGGTTTTATATGTAATAATAAAATAATACCAATATATCAAACGCCTGTCATTTAATTATWAAATTTTATTTCTTCTGTAATATAACCACTTTATAATTATATTATGCATTTATACAAATACATTTAGTGACTATCCTCCATACTATTTTCCCTAAAGTAATCAAATAACTAGATTAGTTTTAGATTAGTATAATATATATATCGTTTGTATGGRAAGCAAAACAATAACATACTAGTGACAAGTATGTTAGTACTCAGTGATAAAACCTTCATGGGCCAAACAGAGCAATAAAAAACCAATACCATTTTTATTTACCTTGCACATTCATACTGTTTTATAGTAATTAATGTATCTTCAATAGTTTTATTACACAAAGTGTTGACTGATGAAACAAAAAAATTGAGTGCATTCAAAAGACTTTCTCCATTTTTTGATAAACATTTCTGAGTTTCTGAATTCTGCACAAATTCTTGTTGTAGTTCTGGTGATTTTTGGCCTAATTCAGCAAATGCTTCTCCAAGAGATTGCTTTATAAAAATAAAAATAAATTTAATATCATTCATATACTAAAGAAAAATAATTTAGGAATTAGAAAATTATGATTTTAAATTTTTTATTATATTGATAATTTATTTATTCACTTTATCCTACAACTTTTGATACCAAAATTATGACAAGGTCAACTGCAAAATAATAAGTCCTAGAAACCAGTTTAAATGATTTTAAAATAAAACACACCATTATAACAATAATTTATTAATATTTTCTTAATTATAGTACCTATCCCTTGTTTTAAATTAACAGCTTTGTTTTCTAATGTTTTGTTAATATATTGGTTAGGAAGTTATATTAAGTGATGCAATTTTTATCTTATTCTTACTTGGGTTAAAATAAAACATTGAAATTGTGTCGCCATGCTTTTAGCTAATTTCAAAATATTTCCATATTTTTTTTGTGTTTCTCTCAATTGCTCAATTTCAGTCTCCAATTCTAAAATTATYGAATTAAATATTTTTAACTTTAACGTTTAAGGTACCAATATTTTACAATTATACCTATATCAACTGTTTTAGATGATTTTCCCAGTTTTTCATTGATTAGTTGTTTAGTACATTTATATGTTGACACACTCCAATTTTTAATAACATCAATTTTAGATGAAGGAAATTTTTGATGTGGAATTTCACCATTTTGGGTAGGGCTTGGTGTATAACCTCGAGGAGCTTGAAAACAAAAATTAATTAACAAATACATCTTTAATTGTAAAAAATGTGAAACTTACCAGCAGTATTAGTAAGAGGTAATGAATTAGGAACATATGTTCTGGGTCTCAAAGGTCTTGCTTCAATTTCTGATCTTAATATTGCGGGATGCATATTATCTGTTTCCACATTTCTGTTTATATATTCATGTACTGTAGGATCACCAGTGATGGTAATTCGTGACATTTTATTAATTACTGAATTATTTTATTGATAATTTATCACAATTATTACCTATAAACAATAATAATAATACAAACATACCACCATTGAAAAATGTTTAGATACACATWTATACTGTTTAATAAATATGAATATTAAGATCATAAATTCATAAGCAATAATGATAAATAATAACCATAAACGATTAAACTAAGATATTATGTATTATCATATTATAATACACACAATAGAGTATATCACAAATTACACGATGACTCAATTATTTAGTATGTATTTATGTATTTAGATAATATGATTTTGTAGCACCACATATCTGTGGTAGTACWACATCCTAAAACTAAATGATAGGCACTACCCATAAATATGTTGTATACAGTGTAAATAATAAATCTATGGAATGTGGTTAGTACTAGAGATGTTCCGGGTATCCGGCATTTACTCGATTGCCAGATACTCAATATAATATTTAAGACTCGTCTCTTACTCGGTACCCGGCGTAGTACCTACATTTTTACCCRGCAAAATACTACATTATTACTTGACTCATATCGGGTAACTGGCAAACGTTGATAATCTATACATCAATATATGCATACCTATAATTAATATAACGGGAAAAATCTAAAACTAGGGTAATAATTTATAATTTATTTTCGTATATATTGGAATATCAAGACCAATTTACAACAGCCAGTTTCAACAAATCATGTTTTTCTTCTACAAATTTCAAAAATAAATCTCGTGTTTATATTATATAAATGATATGATAACAATCTGGAATCAAAATTACAAAAAATATTGTAACATGAAATGTATCTCTATTGATGACGATCCATTAAGTTGGTGGAAAATATACTTTGAAAGTTTTTCCATTTATAGGAAATAAATTACTCTTACAAAAATATTTATCAGCGCCAGTATCCAGTGTTTACTCTGAGAGATTATTTTCAGAGGCAGGATTAGTGTACAAAGCTAAACGAAATAGACTTCAGCCTCAAAATGCGGAACAACTTTTGTTTATTCATCATAATGTTAACAAATTGTTATTATTTATTATTGTATAATGATAATTTTGTTACATAGTGCCTTGTTGTAGTATAATACGCATTTTTTATTTACATTTCTACTCGGCCAATACTCAATACCCGGTTAGTACTATACATTTTACTCGGCCAACACTCGATATCCGGTTAATATAAAAAAAAATTACTCGGTACTCGGTTTATAACAATTTTTCTACCCGAAACATCTCTAGTTAGTACCCTTTAATATTTGATTGTATGAAGCCTGAATCACAGCTTAAAACATAAAATGAGTCATATAATTAAATCTGAATAAAATACTGTAGTTTAAATAATTAAACCTAGTTTAAAGCAGATTAAATATGTGTATGGAAAAAATAATAAATATTCAATGTACACATGTCTACTATTTTCTATAAATGAAATACATTAATTCAAAACTTAAATGTACATGTGAAGACTGATACTACAAAATTCATTGGGTAAAAAAATGATAGCCCATTAGAAATAAATATATTTTTAAATAAATAACAGCATAAATTAATAAATAAATTACAAATATTGAATCCAAAAACTTTACCAATAAATGTTAACTAATTTTTCAATAAAATTTGTTTTGTTATTTTATATAGATAATAATTTTCATAATTATAAATTTCTAAGTTTGAATATATTGAAAGTTAATTACTTCTAATGATATTAAACACTTTAATTATTTTTTCATTACTTTACATGATAAAAATTCAACCTAATTAACATTTCAATTTTTTTTTTTAATTTTAATATACATTTATACACCATCAAAATCAAACGTTAAAAATTTAGTAATAACACTAATAACTTGTAAGATGTAACTGATAATACCAAAACTTCAGAGAATGAGTCACGGGTTAACTGTGTTTATATCACGATTAAAGATAGAAACACGTAAACTCTAAATAGAAAATAAACAAACAAAATTACCTGCAAAATTGAGTGAATGTGAATCGTACAGGACGTAGGAACACCTATCATCAAGCTACACATTTTTTTTAATGAGTATTAATGATTAATCTTTAGAATAAGATTTAGTTTTAGTACTATAGTCTATAATAATCAAGAATTAAATTTATTTACCAATTTATGGAAATGGAAACTAGAAATGTAAAAATAATCAATTTCTATCCAGATTTTCCAAATTGACAGTTGTGATGTTAGGAACAAACATATCGATTTAATACATAGGTTGATAACAATTAACTAAAGTGAATGATAACCGTGAATTTGATAATTATGAATAAAATAAAAATTGATTATTAATCATTATACGTAATGATCAAATTATAAAATAAAAATTTTCAATTTCTGCTATTTGCAAGGCGCATGAGGCCATGAGGCAAGATCGCCAAGATACTTAATATCAAATTCTCACTCAGTTCGTCAGACTTCTGATCCCGGTTTCAGTAATAATCAACTTAAAGAAATATAACGTTTTTTACTTGAAATAGTAAAAGGAAAATAATTAATTTGTGAAAATAGCAAATTCAGACATTTAGAAATGGACGAAGAAGTTCAGTTAAAAAATGTATGCGATTAATTATTTTAACTGATTTTTAAATATTTTGTGTAATACTTATTTTTGTTTTCAGATTAAAGAATTTTTACAAAATTATAACAAAATAACAGATGATTGTTTTTCTCAATGTGTGTATACTTTAACTCAAAGCAGGTTAACAGGTGAAGAGGTTAGTATACATTATACAATAGACAATTGTTGTTATGATTCAGTCGCATAATTTAAGATTGTTAAAATATTTGTAGGCATTGTGCGCAAGTAATTGTGTCCAGAAATCTAAGTTTGTTGATCAAAAATGTATGCAAGCATTTATTGAGCATCAGCAACAATCAATGCAAAAATTTGTTGAAGAATCTTCTCAAAAACAAGCCGAACAGGAAGCTACTGTTGTAGACTCAAATATTTCAGATACAGAAACTAAAGAAATAGTAAAACAAGAATCAACAAAATAACAATTAGATTAAGACATTATGTAGGTTTGAAATTAAATAATTTAGTATTTGTAAATATAATATAATTGATTGAATTAAAATTAAAAAAAAAAATACTGTATTACTTCTACTAAACATGCTACCAATAGCGATTTATTTTACAACCTTATCTTGACCTGAATTAAAAAAATATATGTCTATAGTACACAAATTACAAACAAAATATAATAGTGATATAATATTATAAGGTATATAACATTATTAACCAGTAGATTTATGTCAACCTTATAATTACATAAAAATAGTTCAATTTGTGATGGAATTAATAAAATAAATACAACTCTTAAAATGCTTGATACTATAAGAGTATAAATTATTCTTAAATCACTTATTTATTGGCCTTTTCTCTAACTGCTTGCATTCCATTAGTACATTTAAACTCGTACATAATATGTTTATTGATAAAAAAAAAAGTAAATTTCTAAATGTAAAATTTATTTGGGGTGAACAAAATATAAATATTAAGTTCGTATGATTATTTATTTACATACATAGATAAATAAAAATGTGAACAGAACTCATCAAGATTAAAAAATAGATATTTATAAGTTCTAACATTTAAGACCAGTCTAAATATAAATAATATTACAATAATAACTTAGTATCTTACAAAATCAATAATATAAATTATAAATTAAAGAAGAAATGATTGAAGTTCTTGAATCTATAACAAATTGGTCAATATATGTACAATAGATTAGTATAAGTTCATAAAAATGAAAATATTAGACTTCAGTCTAACTTTTATGATTTAATTATTCTGAGAAGGAAAAAAATATAGTATACCTGTTGTTCTTTTTCTAGTTGCTCAGTAAGTAAATTTTTAGATAAACCAATGAAACGTTCTTTTAAATTTATATTTTCAATATTAGCAATTTCCAAATCTTGTTGTTTTTTACGTTCTTTAAGTTCTTCAATTTCTTGTTGTAACTGATCAATTTTATGCTTTATATCATCTGAAACAAATTCAATTTTATAACTATGATAAATACATTTGGGTTTCTGTAATTTTTTAAAACATACCAACAGACACATTTCCAGCTTCTAATGGAACCAATGTTGATAAAACAGGTGTATCACCAAGTTTACTTTCATCGCTTAGTTCTAATTCAGACTTAAGATCCTCACCTATATCATCTCTATAACCCATACTTTCTTCAAATGTAGAATCTATTCCATCTTCTTTTTTTATTCCATGGTGGGAATTATCATCAGAAATAAACATTTCTTTGGTGAACTCTGTAACAAGCTTTTGAGTTCCAGAAATCGAAGGTTTTTCTTCCTAAAATAGGAATTATTATTATTAAGTATAATATTTTAGACTGAGCGTAATGATAATATATTAGTCTTAAAATAATGTCTTTTTAATTAAAAAAGCTTTGTGCATTATCAACTTTTTGAACAGTTAAAATGGTAGTTATCATCTTTGAGAGTGGAAAAATAAAATGTTATAAATTGAATCAAGATGGTAAGGGTGACAAATAAAAACCACCAGTACTTAAGAGGACGCTACACCCGCGTGTGTTGTCTCCGTCTTACAAGTACGTAACATTGCAAAAACTGTTTTGCGCGGGAAAGAACCGAGAAGGCTACAGTCATAACTAAGAAACGAAATTCTCACCACAGATAAAAGGGAATTTCGACTGTGCAACGTTGTTTTTATTTTTTTGTTATTAGAACTGAAAAAAAAGTTATT